CTAAGCAATCATATTAGAGCCTACCGTCAAATAGTATCAAGAAACGTGGCTTCAATATTAAAAATCTTTGTGATAGTTTTAAAAATATATTTTTATATTTATTTATAAAGTTTATGTTGTGCGCGAAAGCTCTAAACCCAATTAATTTTTGGCCGATAAAGTATGAGAAAAGAATTGACAAAAAACAAGCAACAAAAATAAAACAGGAAATAAATAACAGAAAAAAAAAAAAAACATTAAGATTTACATAGTTCGTCACAATTGTGACTACATCCACGAGTGAAGACGATCGATGTTTTTCACTAAATCAAAGAAAGAAAATTACAAAGTAACTTACTTGTGAACCGATGATTCAATCTCCCACAAAGCCTTATTCTCTACAATTTTCTATCCCCGTAAAACCCCTTAGATGTTTCCTCTATTTTTCTGTATGCACTTTCTCCCTCTACATAACCTAAAAGAGCACCTATGTAAGGCTAACTTTTCCACCTTTGCTTTTTATATCTAGAAGATATTAAGATAATAAAACCCCAAAAGAAATACGCCAAACCAATCTTAACTTTTATAACTTTATCAAGAACAAACTTTAACTTTATCGGACCGAGGAAACCAATTTTAATTAAGGATTCAAGAATTCAAGATAAATATTAACCGTTTAAAGCTTCATCCGACCTAAGTTAGAGGAAACCAATCTTAATTAGAGATTCAAAAATTCAAGATAAATATCAACTGTTTAAAGAGTATTAAAAAATAAAGAGTATAAGAGAATAAAACCCCAAAAATAAGTACGTCAAACTAATCTCAACTTTCATAACTTTATCAGCAAGAAACTTTATCCGACTAAGTTAGGAAACCAATCTTAATTAGGGATTCAAGAATTCAAGATAAATATCAACCGTTTAAAGCTTCAAAAATAGTGGTTATTCGAACTAAATTAGAGGAAACCAATCCTAAATAGGGATTCAAGAATTTAAGATAAATATCAACCGTTTAAAGCTTAAAAAACAGTGGATCTATGAAAACTTGAAAATTCACGATTCAAAAATGCATTACAAAATCACTATTTCCAAAACTTAAAATCCATTTTTTCCGCATGTCTATGCTTCTTGATGTCTAGATGATCAATTTGAAGATATTTGAGCATCAAAACAACCTCTTTTAGTGAAATGTTTGATATAGGCTCAAATTTGATTGTTTAGAATCTTTTCTACGAAATCTATTAGCTATATATATATATATATATAATAATTAAGAAGCACACGTGTTTGCTAATTTTGGTGTCGGAACCCTGGCTGTAAATATATTGCGAAGGGATTTCTTACTCTGGGTAATTTTGCTAAATCAACTAATTTACATTTTAATGATGGAGGGAATTTAATAAATAATACTATTTAAAACATTTAAAAATAAGCTGCGAAAAAATGAACATTTTTTAATTGGCAAATAAATGGTCTCTGTAATCTCTCATACTCCACTCAAGAAGAAAATCTGTAAGTGAATTCTAGAGAGAGAAACTCCGGGAGAGAGAGGTGAGCAGGCTTAAGTCTAGGGAGACGCCAAAATAGAGCAACCGACACATGAAATAGATGAAGATAGAGCAACCGACAAATGAAATGGATGAAGAGAGAGAAAACTAGGGCGAGGTTAGAGGTGGCAATGGATCCATTGGATATACCTAACACGCCTCTGGGTATGGGTCTAGCATTTGAACCCTGGGTTCATTTTGGCTTCGAAATCTAGACCTAAACATGATTCGGGTCCCAATCCAAGTGGACCCGACCCATACCTGTAAATTGTTGAAGATAAAATACTTCAAGCCCTATTAGTTTGGGTATAGTAAAGATTGCATACGAACTAGTAGTCATTTTTAGCTATTTAACGACAATTGAGATAGTTTGAAATATAATGACGAGTGATTGTGACATTGATGTCAATAATATGAGTATATGATATTGAAAAAAAGGTGAAAAGAAAAAAGAACTCATAATGAAGTAAATAATAAACCTGTCCAGAACAGGGATATGTTAGGTATGGGTATGTGTTTAACTTTTAAAACCAAGGATACGTTGGGTATGGGTATGTGTTTAACTTTTAAAACCGATAGATCCGAATACCATCGGGTCTTGGTCAAGGACTTGGGTCCAAAACCTAAACCCGAAGGTCTAAATCCGTGTCGGGGTCCACTCGTATCCGACCCGGTCCCACTCCTACGTGAGGTGAGGAGAACCTGCCGAGGACGGTGAGAGAAAGTAAAGTGAAATTACATTGAGGTTTTTAGAAAGACTTGGCGCTTAGAGTGAGAAATGTGGAGAAAACTCATTCGCCGTGTTGAAAGTTGAAACTAAGGTCACACGCGATAAATGCGCACACTTTGACTTCTACTTTATATAATCTTACTCCTTCCCCCTACAATTTATGAGCAAAATCCTGAACCCACTCTCTCTCAAGAAAAAAAAAAAACCATGTCTTGCGCTGTAGTTGCAGGTTCACCAGTCTTCAAGGCCGGTTCTCCATTAAAAATTGACCATCACCTTCAACCTGGTTATCCAGGCTCTCCGTTACGATGTGGGTTTGTTGGTTTCAGAGAAGAGAGCCAAGGTGGAAGCCCTTCTTTGCGACAGATGAGCAATGGAATTAGGGTTTGGGAGGAAGAAGGGTTAGGGTTTTCTCGTGGGGAAGAAGCGGTTAAGGGGATTTTGAAGAGGAAGAGGCCTGCAAGGCTTCAGATCCCCTCTTCTTCTCCTTGTGCTTCTGGTTTTGAGCCGATTGAGCAGGGACCTGAACTTGTTCATGTAGAAAGCGACAGATATTCTGTCATTTGTAAGAGAGGAAGGAGATCAGTCATGGAGGATTGTTATGCTGCGAACCTGGACCTTTACGGTGATTCGAAACAGGCTTTCTTGGGTGTTTTTGATGGCCATGGAGGAAAACGAGCAGCAGAGTTTGCTGCACAAAATATGGGGAAGAACATAATGGAGCTCGCGACCAACTGTGATGGTGTAGAAGGAATTGGAGATGCTGTTAAGAATGGATACTTAGTCACTGATTCAGAATTCTTGCGAGATAAAGCTCGAGGTGGCGCTTGTTGTGTAACAGCATTAATCCGAGAAGGCAATTTGGTGGTCTCAAATGCCGGCGACTGTCGCGCCGTAATGAGCAGAGGTGGAACTGCTGAAGCCCTCACCTCTGATCACAGGCCTGCAAGAGAAGACGAGAGAGAGAGAATTGAAAGCTTGGGTGGGTATGTGGATCTCCGCCGTGGGGTGTGGAGGTTACAGGGATGCCTAGCCGTGTCACGAGGGATTGGAGATCAGCATTTGAAACAATGGGTATCTGCAGAACCAGAGACAGAGATCCTAAGGATAACCCCCGAATGCGAATTCTTGATCTTAGCTTCAGATGGGCTATGGGAGAAGGTTGGTAACCAGGAGGCGATCGACTTGGCTCGACCCCTATGTGCGACTACTGATAAGCCATCTCCATTATCAGCCTGTAAAAAGCTTGTGGATTTATCCTTAAGCAGAGGATCATTGGATGATATCAGTGTGATGATAATCCAGTTGAGCCGGTTTGTATGAAGGATTTGATTCTGTGGTGTGAGAAGAAAAAAGCAGCAGCCTCTTTTAGCTGGCTGCGAAAACCACGGAGTTTTAGTATTCCTTCATATTTCATGTCTAACCATTAATTTATTTCTATTCAATTCATTTTTTTTAGTACAATTCATTTCGCTCAAGAAAACCATAGAAGTATCAGTTTATTCAATTCATTATTATTTTCATCTGAGTTACATCCCCAAGTTTATTGAATTTATTGGAACTTTCGAAAGATCAGAAGTACAGTTTATTTTGGCACATTGGATGGGAGGAGTCGAAGTTCCAGCATGTGTTCTGGCAATCTTCTTTTCTCATGCCATCTTTAGTTGTTTCGGTTTTGTACCGCATTTTAATCTTCTTTTCTCATGCCATCTTCTTTAGTTGTTTCGGTTTTGTACCGCATTTTGTGTCATTATGCTAGTGTCATTTTATTTGAGCTTTATTTTTGTATCGGATCTTCATCTTCTTCTAGTTATGATCCATTTTATATTGATTGGAGCTTTATTTTTGTATGGGATCCCATCTTTTTCTAGTCATGATCCGTTCTATATTGATTGGAGGTTCATGGTCTTCTAGTTGCGCATGATTCATTCATAATCCATTCTATATGATTGGTCTTCTAGTTACGCATGATCCATTCTATATGATTCATTGTGAACCTGAAGAGAAGCAATAACTTGCATCTGCATCCAAGTTAAAACAATAACTTGCATCTGAATCCAATTTAAAACAATAACTTTATCTGAAATCCAATTTCAGAAGAGAAACAATGACTTGAAGAGAAACAGGATCTAACCCAATTTCTGAACAGAAATAATAACTTTGGAATTTGGTTTGTAATATATGTTTTAATATTCTTTACATTATTGTAAATATTAATAGTCGTTTTGGTCATTGATACTCACTTTTATATCTTCCCATCTTTTTCGAAAAATTTTAAAAATATCTCTAGGTATAAATGTGAATTTTTAAAATCTATTTTTTCCATTAATTTTCAACTTCATTCGAATGTATTTCGTTTTAATCACTA